AAGTACATTTGTGTGTATGTGTATGTAGGTGTGTATATATATATATATAAACATATTTTCATTTACCTTATGATAAAAATTCACTGTGGAAATTTAAGAAATGAAACAAAAATGCATTAAATTGATCTCCCACAAGCATTTGTTTTTGAAAGAGTTGAAATTTGTCATAAAGAACACAATTGTGTATGTAGTAATTGGTTCAAGAAAAATCAAAATAATAGTTAGTGTTTTCCTCTTTATTACTCTTTTTATACACCGGTAGTTTTTGAATTTTTTGATTTTTTTAATATTATTTTATAAAAGTAGTGAACAACAATTGTTCAATCACTTTTTATTCTTAAGTTCAATTCCTTATAATATTATTGAACTCCACAGACAATGAGACGATCTATTTTTGGTCTTGTAAACAGTTTGTTTTAATGAAATTACGATGCCATAACAAAATAAGAGTAAAGTTTTTTTCTTTTTTCTTTTTTCTTTTTTCATGCACATCCAGATATTTAGGTTTGTCCCTTTAAATGTGAATCAACTGGAATTTTAAAAACTACATTTCATTAATTGCAGTGGCACATGTTCTGTACTTGTTTATGTTTATGTTCATTGTACCATACTATTTAAATACTTATATTCTTATTTATGATGAAAAAGTATTTCAAATACATTAATTGCATTTTATTTATTTTAGTCTCTTATAAAAACATATTGAAAAGAGAACAGTTTGTTGCTTTGATGCAGATCCACTTTCATACAACTAACACAAAAAAACTGGGCTTCATTCAATAGTATCATATCACATCAAGTTATTTAAGTGGTATGGACTGAAAGAAAAAAATGTTAGTCTTCCATCAGTTTAAATGTATATATGTGTATTTATGTGTATATATTGCATTATTTTTGGTCTCAGACATTGTTAATTCAAAAATTCTTTGAGCCCCTTACGTTTAAAAGCCTAATAATAAACAAAATTACAACAAAAAACCAAGATTAGAAGCACAATTATTTTAAGAGTAACAAATAATTTTAGGGACACGATTTGTTGTGATGGGTACAAAAATGTAAATAAAAAAAGAAATGTGACAAGAAAAATAAGCATCTAAGGAACTTTTATTTTTATTAATTTAATATAGAATCAAAAAGGTACTGTCATGAAAGTCTTGATATGATTCCAACTCATGCACAGCACATATTTGTTTAAGAAACCGTAAAGTTGTTTGATATTGTATTCTGTAGAGAGAGAAAATTAAAATAAAATAAAAAAACGAAAAAAAATGAAATTGTCAAAGTTCAAGAGGACAACAATGCAATTTTTTGTCTCTTTCTTCATTAATCTCATAGTGACTTGTGTTGATTTTTCAAGAGTCTTGCAACATGACTTTGCAACAACATGTTTTTTCATGAAGTCATTTCAATTCTTCCATACCCAATACAATTTAGTAAATTATAGTCCAAATAAATGTTGACTAAAATAATCAACTGTTGGCAATAACATGATATTTTATAATTAATTCTATTAAAGAAACATGTTTCTTTAGAACAAAGTGATACATAAATGCGATTAAGAAACAAAATGTACGAGTATGGGTTTGGTATAATAACAAACATGTTCATAACTAGTATTCTCTATTCATATATAATTCATGTATTATATATATATACCATTAATTACATTAGAAAAAATTTGCATTCAGCTTGAGTGAATGATACCTTACACATTTATGACATGTAAAAACGTAGGCATATGTAATTGTTTTTTATATATTTCAAATCTAATATTATATGAATTAGCATTAAAGTACGTAAATAACTTAAATTACTATATGTTTATAAATCAGTCACTCCAACTAATCTATAGTGGTTGAAAAGTGTGGCCATCATATTCACGTCCTAAATTGGTGATTTCTATTTGTCTGTTGTGTTTTTTTTTAAGACCTGGAATGAATCAGCAGCATTCTAAAATAAACCAAATCTAAAGTGAAAAATAAATCAATCTTTTTTAAAAAATATTAAAGTTATAACTTGTTTACCTTAGTCATTGCATTTTTATTTTGTTTGCTTATGTTATAGTTTTACATGCACTAACTGCAATTTATCTTTAATTTTTAATTTCCAATCATACAAAAATTTCCCCTTTATTCTAATTGTAATTATCTTTTATTATTTCTTCAATGATTGGTTATATTACATTCATTATAATTATTCAAGCATGCAACTTAATGAATTGAGCTGATTTTTGTTGATAGCAATTTAAAACATGTTGGATTGATCTTTCTAACATAGATAGAAACAAAAAGGAAACTCAAATATATCCTAAATTTTACTTATGGCAGCACCTAAAACATCATATGAAAATAGACCTATTTCACACTATATGTGTAATTTATAAGAAAAAATGTCAATTTATAGTTTAATTTCCACTACATCATGCAGGATTTAGAACATAATAATCACTTAAAAAGTAGGCTTAAAAGTCTAATTTGGCAATAGTACTTACTTGCTTCAAATCTCCTCTTTAAGGTGTAGAGGTTGTGCAACTATTGATGTAGAACTCCATTATGTAGACAATCTAGTTGTGATATAATGCAATGAATTTCATCTAATAATTTCAATCAATCCTCAATTTTAAATGCATGCTTTGAAATTTCAAGTTTAATACTATATGAAAAGCATACCACATATAGTGTCAGTATTTTATAACAGAGAAAAATAAAATAAAATAAAATAAATCTAATGTACATTGAATCATGGCAAATATGAGCCGTTTCTTATCATTCATTTTCCAAATAATATTTGGCACAGAATGTTAGGGAACACCTTTTTATATAACTAAATATAAGTGAATTGTACTTATGAGCTCATCTGTCTCAAACGAGGTAAATTCAGCCAAATGCACTACAACAGTACAGTCTTTGTAATTTTATGAAGTCTCTCACAGAACACAACATGCCCTTGTTGATAAAGTTGGATCTCACACACAATAATGTATATAAATAGATGGGTTGTTTGAAAAAAACGAAGTTCCACTCTGTAATAACCTTGTTCAAATAAAGCATCATTTTTCAAATGAGCTTTTTCTAACTAATTTTCACCAACAGTTCAGCAAGTGGGTGTACACAAGATTGGGTGCAAGTGATGGGGCTGAATGCTATTTATGAGCCTCAGTGTGTATTGCATAACAATAGGATATGATATATTCCTCAATCCATTTTTTATTCTCAGTGAATCGATCTTCACACATGGGCATTTTTTGCTTTTATCCTTCAAATGGGGGCCACACTTGAAACCTACTTCTCCAACCCACTTTTCAGATCCTTCATTTCATGACATTAGTGCCCCTAATGCCCCACATTGTAAGCTGGTGTCACAACCATCAAACCTGCCAAGAATAAGAAAACCCCAGAGTTTGAAATCCAAATGTAGGCTTACTTGGTGGGTCTGACTGACTGAGCTGCCAACACAATCTGGGCTAACTTGGTGGGATCAATCAATCTCTCCCATTCAATGAGCTCTGATCACCATTTGAAAGGATTTTGCATACTGAGAAATTTGCACAAGCAAGGGGGTTGAGGTCTTGTCACCTGTGCTGTGCAGTCAATAACCTCAGTGAATTGTTGTTGACCAAATGACAGTGCAATAAAGGGAGGGATTCTATACAAAAAAAAAAACAAAGAAAAAGAACAAGAAAATGAACAACTGGTCATGGCACTCCTCTCTCACTATGGCATGATAAGCAACTGAAAGGACCAGGCAAAAAGTTGAAAAGAAGAAGAAGAAGAAGGAAAGAAAGGAAGTAAAAAGCCAACTAACATTAAGAAAGGGAGGAAATTAAAAAAGAATGAGAAGTGAAGAAGAGCTCAATGCAAGCACAAATCCAGACTTGCATACATACATACAGACATACTTCCATACTTCAATAGCTGGAAATTGTAGGTGTGGGGGGGGGGGAGAGGCATTAGCCCAAGTGAAGTAGGATCAATAGTGGATGAGACATGATGCAAGCATGGACCTCAAAAGCAAAAATGAAAATAAATAAATGAAATAAAAAATGGAGAGCAGAGAGAGTGAGAGACAGAGGCAGGCAGGCAGGCAGGCAGGCAAGTGGAGAAGGAGAGGTTTTTTTTTTCCAGTTGGGAAGGGAGGGGTGGTTGGTCCTTTTGCATCCAGCCCAGCCCAGTTAACTAACTCACTCACTGCACAAAAGTAGAATAGAGTGAGTGAGTGAGAAGAGAGAGAGAGAGAGAGAGAGAGCTGGGCGGTGCATTCCCTTACACACACAGCTGGACGGAACCCGGAAAGAAAAGAAAGAAAGGATGAAGGAAAGAAAAAGGGGGAAAGAAGGAAAAAGGAAAGGAAAGGAGGACCCTACACTCAGCCCAGCCCAGCCCAGGGAGGGATCTCTGGAATACGATTTTTTCCCCCCCCACCCCCCCCCCCCGTTGGGGGGTGCACTGGGGAGAGAGAGAGGGGGGATGGATGGATGGATGTTGCATATATTATCATTCATATCTCTGTCTCTTTTTCTCTCTCTCAAAGGGGGGAAGGTGGAGGGAGGGAGGCAGGGAGGAGGAGCGGAGATTGTTGTTTTCTTTCTTTTTTCTCGTTCCTTCTCTTTCTTGCTTTTCCCCTTTTGCACCCCCCCCCTCCCCCACCTCTCCTCGTCCTCCTCCTCCGCCGGCTGTTGCGTTGGGTGTCGCGGTGCAGGACTGGCAGCCTGTCTGTCTGTCTGTCTGTGCTGCATTGGAATGCCTTGCTTGCAGCTTGCAGTGCAGTGGGGCTCATGAGAGAGAGAGAGCGAGATTCCGCCATAACCATAACCAGATGAAGAAGGAAGGGACCAGCCCAGAACCAGCCTAGCCCAGCCCAGCCCGGCCCAGCCAGCCCCTTTGCTATTTTGTTTGTAACCCTCCCATCCAGAAGGGGGGCAGCCAGCCAGCCAGCCAGCAAGAAGAAGAAGGAAGGCCTGGTCGCACTCGCTGCCCGCGTTCCAGTGCGTCCTCATCCTGGCCCTGCCAGCTTTCATGTTTTCTTTTTTCTGTTTCTTCCCTCCGCAAAATTGTCCTTCCGTGCTCTGCTGTCTGTGGTTGTGCGAGCGTGATTTACGGGCAGCTCAGTCATCGCACTCCTGGATTGCGCCATTTCCAGGCCTGATAAGTTTGAGAGAAAGTGTAGGCACCTACCATAGTCGGACGGACAAGGAGGAGACGACCACGAGGGAGAGCGGGGTTGTAGTGGCAGTATTCTCCTAGCTTCGTGTATATACACAGCTGCAGGACGGGTCCATTTGCCACCTCCAACAAGTTTATGGAGTGCGGCCTATGTGTCGTGGTGCTCATAACTGCGGTGCTGCAAGTTAAGGTGAAAAATTAGCGTGGGTTGAGGGGCGAGTTGGAGTAGCAGTGATTGCGAGAGAAATAAGGAGACGAAAAAAGCGAAATGCGTGGCAGCATGGGATTGTTGGCCGAATGTAGTGGCGTTTTTGCAGTTTGCTGAGAGGGGAGGATGAGGTGAAGACCTTGAAGTCTGGTGTTTAGGTTTGAGTGGAGGAGTTCTGTTTTGTGTCCTGAATAGATTGCAGTGGTATTTGTTGTGGCTTTGGCTTTGAGGAACGACTCCGAGTACGTAGTGAAGAGTGGTTATCTTAGAAATGGTATCTGTGCGCTGAAAATGCAAGCCGTGTAGCCTATGTATCGGCTCGTCATCGTTTGTTTCTTGTTAATTCGTTACACACTTTCGGTTTTAGTTTTAATTTCAGAGCTCATGTTGTGAAGTTGCGAGAGTTTGTCGCATCGAATGAGAATTAGATAGTACTTCAGAGCTTACTGCTCTTGTGGATTTCTTCACATAATGTGACGGAGGGGCCGAGATACATCTGTTCTAATTCAAAAAATACATCCAAGTTTCTTGGCTAGCCACAGTTTTATGCTCGGCTCTTGTTCGAACAGCCGAAAGGATTGATGTAGTTACTAGCCAGCTGCGTAACCAACGTTCTCGATTCTAAACAGTTTTATTGTGATCCAGTTTGCAGAGTATCACTTTCTTGAGGATTACTTTTAGGGGTGTAGCATTGCCACTCTGAATACCCGTCTCTCTACGACAAGGTGCATGCGCAATAGTATCTAAGGAGTTTTTTTTTTTTTATTAAACTCTGTAACAAGGCCAAGATCACTGGAGTTGATGAAGCCGTCATTACAAAGCGTAATGCCAACGGGAATGGGAAACGGGATGTTCTTGTTACGGAGTTTTTCACGAGGGCGGCAGATGCATTCTCTGTAGCAGGGTTCTTTATTATTCTCGCCTATTTCGTAGCCGGGCGTACATTCTGAGTATTGGAACCAGTTTTAGTTGTATGAAATCCATGCCTAGGCAGTGAACTGGAGATCGATGTTCTGAAAGCATATTATGGAGTCCCGACCATTTATCAGAGTGGCTGTTTGTGGCCTTGGTGTTCGTATCCCTATCTCAGCTAAAGCATCTCGTGGTGGCGTGCACGCTGCTGCGAGCCCTTGCGAATGTGAAATCAGTTTACCTCATTTTCCCACGGAAACAGTTCCAATTTCTTTGGTATCTCCCAACTCTAGTGCAACACCGGACTTCAATGACACCGCAGCAAGTTTCTATTTAGATGAGTCAGCTCTTGAGAAGCTACTGTTGCCTTCTTGCATGCCTAGAAGAACAATACCCTGTTTAGAAGTAGCAGTATTTCTAAGGAAGCAGAAGCTTGGTACGTTTCGGCTGGCCGTTACTCTAGATTGGGCTGAAGGGAATCCCGCTGTGTTACACAGTGGCTGGACGAGCATTGGTAGCGCAAAGGTTGACGGAGGCAAACCCGGGGCAGGTGCTGAACTGCACGTCGCAGTTAAAGTAGAAGCAGACCCAAGATACATGTTTCAGTTTGATAAAGTCACGGCGTTGAGTCCTCAGATTATTCAGGTGTCTAGCAAGAACCAACAGTCCATTTTTAGCTGCAAATTCAGCCGGGACAAATTATCACGGTGCCGGTTAGTTCTCTTCTCCTTGTAGCTTGATGCCGTATGTCCTTAGTTAATTTTCTTGGTTGAGAATGCATATTCATGTCAGAGCATATTGTTTCATTGTAACAGTAACATTTTGTTCTCGTTGTACTTTCTTCATGAAGCTGACTTGATTATATTTCTTGTTTTTAGTGTAGGTGCCAGTGATATCTCATCAAGCACTGCGTGGCATACGTCATTAGAAAGTAGAGAGAAGAGGAAAGAGAGAAAAGGATGGCTTGTCATGATTCACGACTTGTCAGGTTCCCCAGTTGCTGCTGCCTCTATGGTAACTCCTTTCGTACCATCGGCGGGATCCGATTATGTTGCGCGCTCGAATCCCGGGGCCTGGTTGATTTTGCGTCCAGAGTCTCCTGGTGCTGATAACTGGAGGCCCTGGGGTCGCCTTGAAGCTTGGAGAGATAGGGGTGGTAAAGACATGGGCTGCCGCTTCCAGCTGATGGCTGAAGGTGGAGGTGTAACAGGCGTTTCTAGTGGGGTACTGACATCGGAGATCACTCTCTCAGCAAAGAAAGGAGGGGAATTCACCATGGATGCGAGAAAGTTCACGCAGGAGTCCTCTTCTGGCATATCTCCAGTGGAGAGTCCTAGGAGAACCACTCTTAGTCCAAGAAGTAGTGGCGAGATCCCCTTTGGTTTGGGATTGCACGCAGTGGGAGAATTCGTAATGATCTGTGGGGTCCGAGGTGATAGAGACTCCAGCAAACCATTGGTTCAGGTAGCCATGCGTCACGTTAGCTGCGTTGAAGACGTTGCTGTTTTTATAGCCCTTGCTGCTGCCGTGGATCTTAGCGTGGATGCTTGTCAACCCTTCAAGCGCAGGCTGCGTAAAGAACTTGCAGAAGTCATGTCCTCCACCTGATATTCAGAAGACATAAATTTTTGTTAGCTACATTTAAAGAGCGATCTTGTGATGACTGCACCTAATGTCATTGAAATCGAGGTTACGACACTAGTCGTTGCCGGTGCTCGTAGGAGTTATGGATTGGGCCATAATTCAGGCAACGAGTGACATTGGACTTTGGGAGGCTAGTCATAGCATTGTGCTTGTCTGGTCCTGTATTTTATTGTAATTGTAGGGTTGTAGGGTGGAGTGAGACACCCTATGCGGTGTAACATAGTGTAAGCATGGTTATTTACATGTAGGCTGCTGTGCCGTGGCCTTCTGTATTATAGAAGAGCAACTGTGAGGCTCAGCGTTTGGTCATCTATTAGCTGCATGGATTGCGCTCCTTCTTTTACAGGTTCTACGAAAGCTCTTTACCTTCATGATGGCTACATCGTTGGATCTTGCGGATTTGTCTTCGTGCATGATCAGTCTTTGATCGGGGTTTTCTAGTCTGAGCTAGAATTATTTGAATCTTTTGTTTCGCGATTGAGAAGATCTATAATCGTGTGGATAGCTTGTGAATCTTGTAATGGGTAATCCGTGAAGGGTACGTTTGTCAGTTCTCATTTGTACGTTGAATCTATGAGTGGTCAACCACTCCTATACTGTAGATGTTGAGGAATGCAATAATTGTGTCCAAATTGGTCATGAGTTACTTCGCGCGATTCACACATGAGCGAGAACTTACAGCTGCGTAGGTGATCTGACCCGCTGTCAGCTCCCACGAATACTCTGCCACAACATTCGTTTCATTTGTATGTCTGGTAGCCACTGATAAGTACACTGTAATTACCGCACCACAGCTCATTTTTGAGACTGTCGAAATGAACGGCACCTGGTTCGTCACACAGTTGACTGAGTTGTGTGTTCATAATTTTTATTCATGCTTGCATTTGGGTTAATTATCTGATTCGTCAATTGACGAAGTTCTCCAAGAGTCTGGGCTTCTTGAGTTCACGTGCTTGATACTTCGTGATAATTTCAAACAACTTTTCCAGTGCTTCCCTGAATTCTCAATCACCACTTTGTGAATGTAAGGAGAATGAAATAAAGATGCTGCAACACACTGATCCAAGGCAGGTGTCAGTGCAGAAGAACTATTAAAAGTATCCTGGCTGCAAGCATTACAACATGGAATCCAATGTGCACATCTCAAATACTTTTTTTTTTTTTTTTTTTTTTTTTAAAGCAGTCGATGTATTCATCTATTTTTCGTTCTAAAACCAGCTGATCGTTGCTCGAAATTCATGTCCATTTGACGTATCTGTGTCACTCAAGAATTAATCAGTAACCTTATCACATTTTTTAAACTAATAGTGGTGGGTTAATTCAGTTACAGTCACCGATGATTTTAAACGAGCTAGAAGCTTCCCTCAACAACAAGTTGTTTCGACCACAGAATCAGACAACGAACCAAAACATCAGTTTCTCTTGTCCAAAATAATAATGCCCAACAATATCTACGTCTTCAGAGAATGGGTATCGAAGTTAGTGATTCTGTCAGGTTATTGTAGTTTAAGAAGTGGGCATTAAACAAATTTTTGTAAGTATTAAGATCCTAACCTGCAAAAGTAATGCGGTGCTGCATTGGGATGACCTGGTCGTTACGCTTGCAGCCGATTAGATATGTTTGTTGAAGCGAACTGCTATTCTAACATTCTTCCTAACATTCGGATACTTTTGAATTCTTGATTGTTTTGCAAGGACCTTGCCACCATTAGACTCCAGGTTATTGGGTTGCAGCCCAAGGTTATCTAGGGGTCCAAGGTTCAGACAACACAGGAATTCAAATATGCTGTATCAATCTAAGGATTGTATCCTTGAGACTGGTTTCCTAGGTAGATAATGAAATCCATTTGAGACAAATGTTGAGGAATGGTATTTGGTGGCCCCGAGATATGGATTCAGGGAAGGAATTCTGCATTAGTAAAATGGAAATGTACCTAGGATTAAGGCGTCAAGGGTGGTGAGGAGTTGAGCAATTGTTCGTGTCAGAAGTAAAAACGTCTGCAAACTGAAAGCTGAATACCATAGTGAAAAGCAGATACTGTAACTTTTGCATGAAAGCACCACGATTGAACTTATCACTACACGCTGTATTTCATGCAGAGATTTCTTGAATTGAGCTTCCTGCAAACTTGACTGCCCCTAATGATTTCGAACTTTTCTACCCTGCCTCATTGAAATTGAAGTCCCAGGTGTAGGAATCCACGACGTTGTGTACAATCAACAAAGTTACTCGTACAATCCAGAACGAGTGCAGGAAGTTCAGAAATTAAGTGGCATAACCTTGCAACTGAAGGGCATTGTGAACGGTTGAACCCACTTAGCCGTAGACGTGCATGCAATCAAGAGGTAAGAAAAAAAACACATACTATCAATGCGAAGACGGTTCCAAACGATGAGATGTCTGAACTCGGGATCAATCACGCCGTTGACACGCTGTGCTACAGCGTTGTGGCTGGTGCAAGAGTCGACAAGGATAGAAGCCTAATCATGAACTCGAAATCGTCGTCGATGCTCAGCAATTAGAAAACATGCAACAGACTCGAGGTAGAGAGCGGAATGTCAAGATGGAGGTTGTAGCAGGCAGCGTACTCAAGAACGGAGCAGGTCCACGCTCCAGTCCAAAGGGGTAAGTAGAACAAAAGTCGTCGGAGACAGTTTACAACGTACGTACTCACAGACTTCGATTTCGCTCGTCCCTCCCTCCTCGTTAGGTCGACGACGATCCTAATTCGTTGCATACGATCACTCTGCCAGTGATTGATTCAAAACGGGTTCCAGTACGATAACCCTAAACTACATGACAGGACGCTGCTAATTCGGCGTTCAATTCCAACCGACCCTTTAAGATCGTTAATCTCAACACTCCTCACAAGAAAGTAGGGGCACTATTACAAGAAGTAGGAGCACCCTGCATTGGATTCCAGTGATGGACCCAGAACCCAATCTCCCCAGTCCCACTGCCCGTAACTTGCAGTACGATTTCTGTTCTGTTCATTCATCATGATACATTCGGGAGCCTGTTTTCAAATGGGCCCCCGCCCAGTTAGCCTCGTTGCGTCACGGGTAGCCGTTAAAAGCATTTGCCCCACCAATATTTTGGATCCGAAGTCCCCAAGGCCGCATACCGACATTTGGATTGTACCAATGCGATCTGTTAACAATAAGGGATGTGAGATCCCAAGGTGTAGGGTTTCACATCTGAATGCGAAACACGCATGCCTGATAGGCCCAGTCGCGAGTTGCGAGTGTCGCATCAGCATTTCTATTTGAATTCTCCCGATATTTACGGATTGGATACATGTAGTCATTGTTTCTGCAACTGACTTGCGTATGTTTGTACAGGCAGAGGCTTTCGCGAGTTTTCTTCGCTTCCGTGGGTTGTGTACACACTTTTGTGCATTCTCGTAGTGGTTTTCGATTGGACCGTATTGCCGGTGGCTATAATGGCGGGGGCCGATTCTTGTATGCAGACGTGAACTGGTTTACCGGAGTTTTCAGTTGTCGTGTTATCTGAGTCTTTGAGTGCGCATGGTGGAGTTTCAAGAGAAGGTGGCTGGTGAGGACTTGTGAAGGAAGCAGGGATGGGGATGAAGAGAGGGCGAGAAGACGGCTCGGATGGCGCGGAGGGAGAGATAGAGTATGAGAAGCTGCGGAATGCAAGACTAGCGGAGAATCAGAAGCGCATGGAGGAGCTGGGTCTCTTGAACCTTTCCAAGTGTCTTCGAGAGAGTGTTCGTTCCCCTGCCTCTAGCCGCGCTTCCAGCCGGTCCCCTTCCTCGATTCCTCGCCTCAGCACGCCTGCTGGTCCAGCTCGACGCTCTTCTCGGTATGTCGTCGAAAGAGCTTTTTGCCCGCATCTTAATGTGAATGTCTGGTGCTTCTTCATTTTGGTGCTACCTGGCCATGCGTGACACCCTTTTTCTCTTCAAGAACACCACGTATTTATTATCGCCGGTTCCATTTGTGTTCTCATTATTGTCCTTGCACTCTCCATTTCTTGTGTGATCCCCTGGTCATTCAATCATTTACGACTACCTTTATTGCTCCTGAACATTCTTCACATGATCTTTTGGTGTCCTCTTGATTCCTTCACTTTCTGAACCCTAGTTCGTTTCTGAGCTTCCCAAGTCCGTAATGACGTTTAGCATGGTCTGTGTCGCATTGCTACTGGTAGAGAAGAAGACGTTGTCCGATTCGATGACCTCCTCAACGATGTTTGAGTAGGTCTTGATATGAAGATAGCATTTTCTCGATCTACACTGAAATCAGCTGATTTTTAGTTCCCTTCTTCTGTATTGCCGTGTAGTTTCCTGCCGCACGAACCTTTCTGATTAGGGTAGTGCTCAGGAAACTGGTTACTTGTTCTAGTACCTTGTCCTACTCTTCGCCAATTAGTCTTCACGCACGGTTGTTCACTGGTGAAGCCATTGTGAAAGTAGTGGAATTGGATCTGTTCAAGCTGCTATCATACCAAGAGTTTGCAACAAGGTGAACAGTCTTGGTATGTATGATGAACCTCTACGCGCTGACATTAACATGGAGACTCTTACCATAACTACTGGATTGGAGTTTGACCTTGACATGTGGAATGATGTATGGCCAACAAACCGCAGGTTGTCTGGATCTCCTGTTATTTCATACGCCGAGAATGTAAGAACTGCTAGTGAAGGGAAAGGGAAGATAAGTCGCCGCGCAAGTCAGGCAGGCACAGGTGGCTACCAGCCTGAAATCTACACCGAAGAGGACGAGAATCTCTTGGGCGATTTCAAGGAGGAGTGGCAACTCTTTGTTGATGGATATGATGCAAAAGGCGTTCGCATTTACGATCCAGTCCGTGGGAAGACTTGTCATCAGTGCCGGTTTCCACCTAGCCCCGACCTCATACTCATTGTGCTCATTAAGCCAGGATTTTGATGTATCTGGAAATAGTTATCTCTCGGTGAAGCCTTGCTTCCAATGGCATAATTGTGCCCTCCATCATAACTAATTGAACCTCTGAGTAATCACCTCCGGTAGTTTTTTTCAGGCAAAAGACAATGGGGCATCGGACATCATGCAGCAACTGTCAGTCGCTCCATGGCCAATTTTGTGGCGATTGTCTCTACATGAGGTATGACACCGAAGTTCGAAACTTCTGTCAGAGGTGAAGTAACCTTCTTGGGATGAATTATTCTTGGGTGCTGCGTATGAGCATGCAACAGACAATCAGAACTCTTTTCTACGAAAACCCATGGATTACCGGCTTTCTTTATGTTGACCGAACGGGCATGCGCAGGTATGGAGAGAATGTCTTGGAGGCCAACCAAAATCCGGTGTGGGAGTGTCCTGTTTGCAGAAACATCTGCAACTGTAGCTTTTGTCGCCTCAAACGAGGCTGGACCCCGACTGGATCCCTTTACCGAAAGGTTTGTTCCTTGCCTTCGCTCTCTCATCACATAGTTTGATGTAAGTGTTATTATGGTCCACTTCGAATGCTTACTGAATGAGTAGATCTACTTTTAGTTCTGAAGATGGCGTTCGAGTACCAATAAAGTGAGCGTAGCATTTTAGAAAGTGATAAAGAAGTACAGTTGTCCGGGATTTCTCTTCAATATGAACGTGTGCTACTTCAAGAGCTTTGTATTTAGCGACCGGATCTTGAATACATTCAAGGATGTAATAATTCGTAAATCTAACCAACTTTTCATATCTCACTGTGTGCAGATTAAAAGCCTGGGTTATAAGTCAGTAGCTCATTATCTCATCCTCACCCGTCGTGGTGATAATGAAGAGAGAGCAGGGGTTGAAGTACCATCTAAAAGTGCCGGTCTGATGGAGAAGGCAACAGATCTGGATGGTGAGACAGTGGCCTCTCTGGAGCCGATAACTGAGAACGCTGCGAAGCCATGCCTTGAAGCGCCTGAGCCAGTTGTAGAGAAGCCAGGCTCTCTAAAAAGGGGTCAGGAGGCCATCAAGACCAATGCTTTATCTTCTGTATGGCGTTCTAGACGTGCAGGGTCCATTACTTCGAAAGGTGTAAAGGAAACCATAGTTAAGGGCACGAATGTCATTGAAGTTAGTGAAAAGTCAGAGAGCGCGGAAACAACAGCGTCTGTTGATTCACAAAAAGAGCACGAGGCAGAGCAGCCCCAGGAGGAGTCTAAGAAGCCTGGTCGCGGCAGACCTCGCAAAACCTTGCCGACATCAGGAAAAGGGTCTTTTTACGGTACTGCACCTAGACGGAGGGTTGCAGCAAAGCCTGAGCCTGATTTGAACTCCACATATGTTAAGGAAGAGCAGGAAGTACTTACATTGGATTCTGACACTGAGGATTCAAGCTGTGACTTAAAAGGCGGCAATATGGTGCCTATTGCACATAGGTTACGAAGAAGACATGTATGCTAAACTGGAAGCTGTGATCTTCGTGGGCAGTGGAGCAGTTGCAAATATCTACCACGTGAGTATACTGCTTTGCCTACTGTGACCAAAGAACTTATGCGAAATTGACTGGTAGATTGCATCATTGTGAAGTTGAAATGGAGTTGAAGAGGGGTCTCACTGTCTCTTCATGACCCTCCAAATGAGAAAAATGAAGTGACTTGGATCTGAATATTAACTTTTTGTCTGCCACATCCTGAATAGTATGGATGTAGGTATCAATTGGTAATGTGTCGGCTGCTTTAGGAGTGTAGGGACTCAACCTATTATTATGAGAGTAATGTCTCTCGTAGATTTGCTAAAATTGTCATTAAACAAGCTGTCAGTGCAATGCCACGTGTTCTTGGAGAAGCCTTCAAGAGGGTTGTAAATATGTTTTCACTCGCTAACCACGAGTAAAGCCGGAGACATTTTGTCAAAATGGCGTTACGCTGTCACGTAGAAAATGATGTTCACCACTGGACTAATGATGTGAGTGGTTAACAACACTACGATCATCGTATTGTTTTTTGAAAGGGTGTGTAGTGAATGGGCCGTAGCGGAACAGGTACCCAGCTGGTACCTGATTGGAACTGGATGAACAGCAAATCCCAATGGCTCCTTGCACAAGAACAATTTACTAAACCCTCAACCCTGTCTAATTGTTCACAATTGAATCTGTGTGTTTATTTTTTAAAACCTCAAATTCTCCACCCTGCCACGAATATTTTAGGACCTCTCAACAATTTGTTGCCCGTCGGTTAGCTGCCCACAAAATCTGAGGAAGCTACCGGATGCCTATAACTGTAGAAAATGATGGACAGATGAAACAAAACTTAGTGCGAGCTCTGTTCCTTTTCTGCTAAATCTCAAGGAATTAAACTATTTAAATAGTAGGTAAAGGTTGTAGCTCAACAAATTATGAAACACATCCACTGCTATAACATGTATAACAGGAGAATTTTTTAACTATACAGATAAACGTTTGCACCGACATACGATAAATTCTGGAAACTAACTACCCGAATGCGGACATTTGCCCAAGGCATTCGGAGACTGCCATTGTACATAAAAACATACTCATGCAACCAACAATAGTTTGCAGCAACGCCGACAACTCAAGTTACTGAAGTGAACATGATAGATTGCCCCATCTTATGTGTGAACTAACATCTCAATCGTTGATATGGAAATGTTGAGACTTCGTAACAAATAGATGCATCAAGATCAGGCGTCACTCACACGGTTGTGCCTTGAATTACAGCGAGACTCGTATAAAAGAGTACAAATCCTAAAACCGATCAGCTTCCCCATCCTTTTCTATTGCGAGGTTGCTGTTTCTAAAAATGAGCTTTAATACGGCGTTCTACTCCAGAATATATACTACACAGGTGAGATTGGAGTATCAATCAGTAACCAAAATCCCGTGCAAAGCTCCGAATCTAGTGAGGATTGAACAGCCAAGAAGTGAAGACCACCACATTTCCTCTTCGCTGCCTCCCAAGCTTCACCTTCTGCATCTGTCTGCCGGCTTTTGCGATAGAAAGCATACCTCCAACTGGTTCACAACCAAGACATATTAGCATAATACTAGCAGACTCTCGAGCAACAAACAACTTAAGTCTTAACAGTTTAACAAATTTACGAAACGACATTATATTTATTCACCTGCATGTCACTTTCGGCTAAATATTTAAAACAATTATTCTGACTGAATCCTCTGCTTAAGATACTTTTGAAGGTGTCTTGCTAGAATTCAAATGAAAAAAAAGTCAGGGTTACATCACAGCACTTACCGATCTGCCACGCCAGTGGAGAGCACAAGGCAAGACCGTTGTGTATCCACTTCAAGTGAAGCTAGTTCCAAAGCGTTTGTCCATGCTGAACAACACAATTACCATCAGAATAGAAAATGTTCATCAGGTTATCATCACCGAAAAAGCCGAAAAACGTAGTTACTCTGCAGACTATGACCCTGGTTGCAATACTCATTACTAAAAGATCAATGAAACTATATCAATCACTCAGTTCAAAATATGGAGCTATTTTCCAACATTCCTGGAGAACGACATGCTTCACCTACTCTCTGCATTGCCTGTACAGTATTGAGTATGATTCTAAGACCACACATTAAGGCATTGTGTGCACCAAACTAACAATGACAAAATTAGTTCTTCCGAGCAACACACATTGGTCAAAATTCGGTTCTGTTATCAGTGTTTACCTGCAAGTGGAGTCGCCCGTGACGATGCCACTGCAACACCTGGAATCATGATGCCTGGAGATAAATCTATGTTTAATCTGTCAAGGTCTAACACGCTACCAAACACATCCCCTTTCGATACGCCTTCCATCTCCTCCAGCACAGCTGCAAGTGCCAGCTCATAAATGTAAGTTCAACCCCGATTTGATTACGTTTCTTTCCGCCAAAACGTAAAACTGATGAGATGGTTTTGTAAGTAGAATCGTAATGAGAATGAAAACGTGCCTTCGAATGGAAGCTGCACAAACGCCCACTCCTCCCCCCGTAGAGCATCTGGCAAATCTAAGGGAAGGGATTGTTGCTGTAACAGTAATGGAGAAGCACCCTCCTGATAACCTGGATGTTGACTGTAGACCGTCTCAAACCGTTCCTCGAGCCATTTTATGAGTGTCACACACTGCAACGTCGAATCGAAAAATTAAGCATGCATTAAGTCAAGCTTCATGGTGCCAGATAGACATCTGCGTCAACTTTAGAGAGCGGCAGACACAATACAAAAACAGTGAGGCACGTTCTCTCCTCAATAGTAGTATTGAACACTAAACGAAACTCTCCATTTAAGATGAACTTCATTCTGGATCAACATAGTTTTCGACGATGTATAATTCAAAATAAACAGTGAAGTAATCACCCGTTGACTAGGGACGGGTTGAATATCGAGCTCTTTGCAAGCCTTAGTGATTATGGTCTGCATTTGGGACCTGTCCAGAGAAGCCCAACATAAGTAACTAAATCCTCTAATAAAAAAATTCTGATAATTAAACACGCGTGGTCATGTTCCTGAGCTGTCTTTCACAGATGGTAGTGATAATTCTCAGCAAATACTACATATGCAAATAGTGCTCATGATTATGAATTAACATAGCAGCGCCTTCATATATATACAGATACATATCTATCTATAGTCATATACAGAAGTGATGGCACTCAAATCTTACCTGAAAAAACGAATCTTCTCTGGCTTAGGTACCTGTAGAGTATCCATAATGTACAATAATGCATCCCGTAATGTGACACTATTGATAACGTTATTCGGGAAGAAGCGAGTGAATTGTAGCTGTCGTCTACTGTCGCACACCACGAGCTCCCACAACTTTTTACCCCGACTATCTAGTATCGGACGAGAGCAAAAATCGAGTTCCCATTCGTAAATTGAATCAACATCCGCATCCTCTGCTATACTTTCTTCCTCACCTCCTCCAATATCTGGTCTAGCCTCTGCCAAATTGGGCACCGCATTCGTTGCTACTTTAACGACTCTTGAAAACCTTGGAAGTCCAGTAGCTGCACCAAACAATAGGTCACCCAACTGCAAGTCAACGATTGCTCGATTGAATGCATGACAACAGCATACCACACACAACCCCAGATTCACCGAAAACTGCAGAATATTTCCTCCAAGCATGCACTAAAATGAGTCGGAGAGAGAGAAATTTCGTTCACCAGGACACAAAATACCTAACGACGAACATGCGACGCGATTAATTATGCCCACACTGAATCCACGCTTCAACTGCGGCAACCGTTTCCACCAAGCGAATTTGCACTGATGTGCACACCCCAAGAATAAAAGCTAAAGGCACCAAGGACAAAGAAAGAAGCAAACACGTACTTAGTGAAGCAGCCGAATCCCAATTATTACACCCACCCGCACCCACAGAATGCAGCGACAGCGGCGCCCGCGTCCACCATGGCAGGTAAACGCTCCCCACCACGCTTTGCTTGCTCACTACTGCGCTGCTCTTCTTCCCCGAGCTGGAACTACAAACCGTGGTGCAGCACCGGCAGGATGGCACCACCCCTGTTCCCATCGAACAATACAAACTCCTACCCTCTGAAACCCTCACCTCGCACGTCCCAAATTCGGGTGTCCTTACAGTACTTCTCTCTCGCCTTATCTCCGCAACCCTTCTTCCAATACACCACACCACCAATGCTAACCCCAAAACCCGCAAACACAAACCAACATTCCCAAACAGTAACGACAAGCACAAAGACCACCGCCGCGAACTCAGCAGAGCGATGGTTGCAAAGCAGGCGGTGGCAAAACGGGGTGAGTGTGTCGTAGGGGAGAGGTGTCAGAGACGGAGAAGGGGAAGAAGAAGCCGTGGTTGGCTTTCGAGATCCGCGCTGTGGTGCTCCGAGCTCGAGAATCAGCAGCACAGCCAAAGCCAGCCCCTCCCGCAAAGGCAAAGCCAAAATCCAAAGGCATGCCCACGCTCTCTCGCACCCCAGCCAGCATCAGCCTCGGCACAGCCTAAAGCAGATAACGCTCCTTCACCCGGCGTTTCTGTGGGCCCGCCCTGCGTTTCCCGGGGTGGTGAAAATCTGGGTGTCTGTGCAACCAACCAACCAACTAATTACCACAATCCTGGGTTTACCAGTCGACTTCAGAATATTCCCGCGGGGATTGATTCAAAAGCCACATCATCATCATCCCGGGCCCCGCCCCCCGCCCGTTCCCCCCTCCTTCTTCAGGGAGAGGGACTCGTTCGTTCTCTAAGCCTGGGGAGGATTTCGATGCTTGCTTAACATTCATGCTCATTTTTATTTCTTTTTTCTTTTTTTATAAAATTTTTATGCCTATTTTTTTTTTCACATACCATGCTTTCATTATAATATTTACTAGTTGAACCTGTCCCATTGTTATGAAAAATATGCAAAAAAAGTAAATTAATATTGTTATTAAATTTAGTAACTACATGTAACCGACTTCCATACCTTGCATTTTGCAATGTACTAGATGGTGTGGTGTAACTAAGTGTGCTTTTGACCTTGACATGATTTGGCCAAGACACTAGAAGACGTTCACCTTAAGTTATTAGCTACCATTTGGCTACTTGTAACATCTAATGCTCCTTTCTATCAAAACCAAGTACTACTATAAACTATTGATTTGATACCTTTTAGAGATAATACACCTTCAAAGCTCCACATGAATCCATCCCAAAATGTCAAATTCATGAGCATGTTTCAAATGTTGCTAAGAAAATCTTCAACATTAGAATTGAAGAATTCACCAATACCAAAGGATTTCAAAGAAAATTTCTCAATAAAAGCTGAAGAAGAAAGCACATTCTTTGAAAAGATTTATAATACATGACAGTTAATAAACTTGAATTTAAATTATAAAAATGTAATGATTTTCTTCTCAAATAGACAATAATATCATTTATTAGATATCATTTATTAGAGTTTGATTAGGCATTAGTTACAAAAAAAAAAAAAAAAAACAAATAACCTTCAATAAGAGTCAATTTTAATTAATTTATAATAGGACATGCTTGATGAATTTGTTGCAAGATTAGTGTCAAGGATAAGAACATGATAAAAATAAATAAACAAGTGAGACTTCTCTCAAAGAAAGATGACAAAATAGAAATAACTTGATATGTATATTAAGAAAGAAATTGGAATAGCTATTGCCAAAAGCCAAGAAAATTAAAGACCCTTGAAACTAGACTGGAAGCAAGAAAGGAGTTGACAAGAGTGAAGAAGGCTTCACTCTTGTCTCTATATATACTATCTAACTAGGGGCTACATTGACGGGGTAGAAAGAGTTTGCTTCAAGAAAGCGTTGAGCTTCTGGCTTCCACTAAATGCTCAATTAAGTCTAAGATATAAAAATATCAAATTTATATATATAATTTATTCTCTTTTAGGGCAATTACATCAAAATATAAGCCAAGTACCAAGAAAACATCCAAATGTATGATAAAGTATCTTAAAACCTTATATATTGTTAGGGACATAGTCCTTAGAACCTTTTAGAGACAAGTTTCTAGAACCTTCTAGAAGCAAGTCTCTGGAACCTTCTAGAAGCTTCCTAATTGATGGAAGTTGCTTGAGAAGCTTCCTAGTTGGTGGAAGTTGCTTGAAAAGCTTCCTAGTTGGTAGAAGTTGCTTGAGAAGCTTCCTAAATAGGAATATATATTGAAATCGAGGCTGAAGAGTTCTTCAGTCTCAACAACACATCTCTTGGAGCTCTAGCTCACCTCTCTAGTGTTGTTCTTGTATTCATTTGATTAATCTAGTTCTTGCCAGTTCTTCTTGAACTTCTTGTTAGATCTCGAGCCTGTATTTTTGTGTCCGTGATAGTTTGTCGAGACTGAACTCACCTCAGATATCAGAGCTAGTTTCTTCCTCATTAGAGTATGGATTACCCCTCTACTTAAAGGTGTACTAGCGTTTTAGAGGTTGGGGATTATCCTCCTCTAAACTGATACTTTTTTTGTTACAATATTGGAGTCTTATTCTTCTTGGAAAGAGTGGATTATCCCTTTTCTTGAAGTTCTTAAGGCATTTTAGAGGTTGCGGAGTACCCTCCTCTAAACCAATATTGTCTTCTTGTAGAGTCATTTCTATCCTTCTCTTAGAATGGCCGGAGGCCAAGACATTAGTATGATGAAAAGTTTGGAGTCCAAATTGAATGCTATCATGAATGTCCTCGCTACGTTATCGCAAAGAACTGCAGAGATTGAAGAAGTTGTGGCAAGGCTTCATAATAATGGAGCATATGGGATGCCACAATCTAGGTTGCACCAGCCTCAAACTTCTGTACTTGGAGAAGCAACTTTGCCTCAAGTTCGACAAGCACCACTGGTTCTACAACATAAGGAGCCCCGAGTTAGCCTTTCGGACAAGTTCGATGGTACGTGTTCCAAGTTTCGAGGATTCATCAATCAAATCAGATTGGTAACAGTTTTACAGCCCGAACGCTATCCAACGAAGGAGTCACGTGTTAGGCTTGTTGGAACCTTATTTATAGGATAAGCTCTATCATGGTTTGTTCCTTTGTTTGAGAAACGATCGTCCATATTAAACAACTTTGAAACCTTTTTGGAGGCGTTTGCTGAAGCATTTGGTGAACACGACAAGGTTCAATGGACTACAACAAAGATCTGGTCACTACGACAAGGGATGCGCTCTACATCAGTCTATACATCGAATTTCAGGTAATTAGCATGCGACATCAATTGGGATGAAGAAGCATTGATGAGTCAATTCTATTGGGGTTTAAAGGACAATATGAAGGATTTGTTGTTAACTCTTCCTGATCCGCGAATGCTCAACGAAGCTATTAGCCAAGCTATGAAGTGCGATAACTGCCTATTCCAACGTCGTCAAGACCAACGCTCAAGACAACATACGGTTTGCCATGCCCCAACTATGTTGACAAGCAGGGTGAATTCACATTCAGAGGTAGAAGACATGGAAATTGATGCGGTACATGTCAAATCCCTTACTCTAGAAAAAAAAAAAGCGACGTATGGAGGAAGGTCTATGCTTATATTGTGGTGAAGAAGGCCACAAAGTTGGAAATTGCCCCAAGAAGCAAAATCAACACATTGTCAAGACCAGGGACACATTTGTTCAGGAAAACGAGGATGCCCAACCACAATAGGAATCGTGCGGCTGAACAGTGAAATATCGCAACAACAACCAAGTTCCTTTCTTTCCACTCAACCTGCCCTTTGTTTTACAATCCCTTTATTTATTGGCCCTCAAAAATTGAGAATCTTAGCATTATTAGATTCAAGAGCATCTGCTTGTTTCTTAGACGAAGAATTTACGAAGCGTCATAAGATCTCTTTAGTACAAAAATCCAAATCTGTTCATGTTGAGGTCATAGATAGGCGACCTTTATTGTCTAGTAGTGTCACCCATGAATCAGAACCTATAGAAGTGACATTTAAGGGCCATAGTAGTCATATTATTTTCAATATTATTAGAACCCTATCAAATCCTATTATTCTTGGTCTTTCCTGGTTAGAAAAGCATAACCCATCCATAGATTAGAGGTTGCGGAAGATGACCTTTCCTACAAAACCATCCAAGAGCAAGCCTAGTAAAAAATCCCGAATAGAGAAATCTTTATTCATTAGAGCAAGAGCGTTTGTAAGATCGTCCAAGGAAGGTACACCGTTTGTCATTTATGCGGCTCCAACTATTGGAGAAAAGATCTCGACAGCAAGTATACCAGAGCAATATAAGGATTTTAAAGACGTATTTCAAAAGAAAAATGCTGACATGCTACTGGAACACTGACCATATGATTGCGCCATAGACTTGCAAGAAGGAGCACAACTGCTTTTTGGCCCAATCTACAATCTATCGCAGATGGAGTTGGCGGAGTTGCGGAAGTACATCGATGAGAATCTAGCTAAGAACTTCATCCATTATTCAAAATCGTTAGTTGGGGCACCCATCTTATTTGTGAAGAAGAAAGATGGCTCGTTGCAGATGTGCGTGGACTATCGAGGCCTCAATAAGATAACAAAGAAGAATCGTTATCCATTACCCTTGATTTTTGGTCTTTTAGAATAACTTGGACATACAAGGATCTTTACAAAAATTGATCTAAGGGGAGCTTACAACCTCGTACGAATCAAGGAAGGAGATGAGTGGAAGACAACGTTCTGTACAAGGTATGGCCATTTTGAGTATAATGTCATGCCCTTTGGTGTTACCAATACTCCAGCGATCTTTCAATATATGATGAATGATATTTTTTCAGAGCACCTTGATGATTTTGTTGTCATCTACTTGGATGATATTCTGATATTTTCCAAAAACGAGGAAGAGCATGAAAAGCACATTCGTTTGGTCTTGGAGAAACTACACGAGAGAGGACTATATACCAAGTTGGAGAAGTGTTTATTTCACCAAATGGAGATGGAAATTTTTGGGTTTCATTGTGACTACGGAAGGCTTGAAGATGGATTCCAAGAAGGTGGAAGCAATCGTGTCTTGGGAGGTTCCGAAGTCGGTTAAAGATGTACAATGCTTTCTTGGTTTTGCTAACTTCTATCGGATCTTCATCAAGAATTACTCTCAAGTTGTTGTTCCTCTCACTCGGTTGACATACAAAGATAAGCTGGAATGGGGACCTCTAGCGGAGAAGGCATTTCAAGACCTGAAGATGATATTTACTATGGCTCCAATCTTGGTACATCCAGACTTTATAAAGGCCTTCTATTTAGAAATTGATGGTTTGGATTTTACTTTGGGAGCTGTACTTTCCCAAATAGGAGAAGACAAGAAGCTCCATCCGGTTACATTCTATTCTCGAAAGTTCTCTGCTGCTGAAATCAATTACGAGATCCACGATAAGGAACTTCTTGCTATAGTGGATTCTTTCTAAGAATGGCGTCACTTTTTTGAAGGAGCTATACACCTAGTGACCATATACACGGATTACAAGAATTTGGAGTATTTCATATTGGCTCGAGTT